TTCCTCCCTCCTACCACCACCATGTCCTTCTTCACCATGCTTCTACCTCCTGCTAATTCAATTAGTACCAATTCTTCTTCTTCCTCCTCTTCTCCCGCCGCCACCCATTCTTCTTCTTCCTCTGCCCACCTCATCGACGGCTCCCTCGCAATTAGATCTTGGCCTCTACCGGATAAAATGAAGGAATTGACAACAACAACCTGGCAGTCGTGCCGGTGGGGGCGGGGGAAGTGACCGTAACGGCGGCACCGAAGCGGTCGACAAAAGATAGGCTTGTGAAGGTGGACGGGCGAGGGCGGAGGATTTGGATGTCGGCGACTTGAGCGGCGAGGGTTTTTCAATTGATGAGGGAATTGTGTCACAAGTCGGATGGGGATACGATCGAGTGGCTGTTGCAGCAGGCGGAGCCCGCTATTATTGCGACGACAGGGTCGGACACCATCCCGGCCAATTTCACGGCGTGCTTGCTCTAACGGGGGCACAACAGCATTACGAGAAAGGGTTCCAAAGCTGTGTATCCGTCCCGATCCGTGAGGCGGAACGAGGAGCTCAATGGGACGGCGCGAAGTCCTGCCAAGCTCAATTGGGTGGGAGGGTAGCGGAGATTGAGGTTGGAAATGGGTTCAACAATTTGGAGCTTGCTGCGGCTTGATTCTTCGATTTTGTGGAGCCAATTGGGGATCGGAGGAGGCTGAAAATCCATGAACACATGGTGGAGGGAGTGAGGACGTCGTCGATGTCGCCCGGGTAAGGCAGCCTGACTTCAACGGGTGGAATTGGATGGTCGATGCGGATGCCGATGGTTTCCAGGATGCCCTCGGGAAGATCTGCTCGCGGCGAGCCACCCCGACTAGGAATCATATTGATTGTCTGATTGAATTGGAGAAATGTGGACGTCAACGGGCAGAGTTGTGGATTAGTGGAGGTGGAAATTTGTGCTGAAAGATTTTTGGGCGGTAGGGTATATACTATATAACTAGTTTTTTACCGCCAGTTGGGCGGTGTATTTTGTTTGGTTGTTTTATAATTTGTTATAGTATTCTAATTGTTATTATTATTTATGTTTGCTAAGGTAATATACATGGAATTGTAAATCTCACTTACCTTATTTCAGGTATTATTTCATACTTTTATACCTTTTGTTTATTTATAAACATTTTAATTTTATTAACTAAGCTCTTTGTAAACGGTTCTTTATTGATTTAGAATTTTTTTTATCGAACTCGCCCTTTAAGATTATAAACATAAAAGATTATTCATTCTTTAGCACAAAATTGTGATAAAGAAGTTAAAAAACTTACAGCCACAAAATAAGAAGTTAGAATAAGAAAATATGCTTCAATTAATAAAAAATAAGCAAAGAGCTTTTTATTTTCTCTCCCTTCTCATATGTTGGTATATGATAATAGAGAATATTCCGATCTAAATCTCATGAATATCGTGTATTATCACTTACACATACAATTTGGAATAATGAGGAAACTCATTAGCATCCACGTCCATCAATCTTCCACATACTTGTTTAATTACCTTGAAATGTTCTAGCAAAACCAACCACAAACAAAACTATCGGTTGTCACTAACTTATTAAAGCAAAATTTTCAGCAAATTAAACTGCATATAATTAAACACAATTTATATTTTGTAGAGAGCTACATATCTCCTGCAGAAAAGAATTGTGCTTTATTACCTAATAACAACATAGACAAATAATGAAAGGAGCAGTCTTAAATACCACTCAACTCATTTTATCATTCAGATTCCTCATTTGTGAACTGAATATATGCATCAATCCAAATAGTAGTTTGTAAGAAAAAAACCATGTCAAAATCAATCTTTAGTTAGGATTCAATGCAGAAAAATTCACCTTAATGAAACAAACAAATGTCACCGCAAACATGTAGAAATTAAAAAAACATCGAAATAGACAACCGAGAAACCACCATTATCATTTTCTTTCTTCTTCGCGACCTTTATAAAACCCCAATTATGTTCCCTTGTACTTATAACCCCTTTGCTACCTACTAATTACTAACCAGATCATCATTGTACAGCTAGCTAGTAGTAGCATGTCAATCATGAACATAAAATATAATAAACAATCATCACAACTCTACTTTCCATTTCAACATTCAAGAAATTGGGTTGCAATAGGCATTCAAGAAAAACGATCGATTATTCAACCAAAGGAGGCATGCCCTAAGTCCAACCAATTAACCCTTCTAATTATATTTTATATACATGAAAGTATATGGCGACCCTTCTCAGTAAAAAACAAAGACGAAATATATTCACCCATCGAGAGTGGGAAAATTTATCATCTAGCAGTCGTAATTTGGAAGAAATTAAGAAAAGAATGAGAAAAAGAGTATAACTCGGCCAGTCAACCGCAAACAATAACATATCGCTGAGAAAGTGAGACCAGTTGCCAGCTTCATATCAAGGAGGAAGAGGGAGCAGTCGACAACCCTCGGCTTGGTTCACCTCATCTTCACAATTATCAGATTAACTTTTCGTCAATAGGCAAAAATATGTTACAACTTCTCAAAATTTTGTCATATTATCGTTGTCTCGTGTAATTTCTGCTTCCCATTCTCATACAAAGAAAAAAATCGTATGCATTACAATTTCCTTCTCTATAAATTATGAGAAGACAAATATTAGAAATCTCAAAAAATTTAGCAGCTAATAAGAGGGCTTTGTTTATTTTTATGGTGGTTGACATACTTTCTTGATTTCTTATTTTCAATGTTGCATTTTATTTCTAGAGAGACAATCAAAATGGGAAAAGGGATAGAAACAAATTAAAAGTTTGCATTAATAATTAATATTTTTTCATTTAATAGAAATGAATAAGAAGTTTTTTAAAAAATAACAATTATTTCTCTATCAAGTTTATATTCATACATTTTGCTATATAATTTATACTTGTTTTATTTGATAGGTATATACATAAGAAAGAAGTGAGTGTTTGATAGTAAAAAAAACATATAGTCATATCGTTCATTTCTCAAAATCGATTGATTGTCAAACGTTTATTTTCTCTTCGACCATCGTTTATATTTTGTATTGAAAAATATTAATATTTATGTGTGTTTTTGTTTTTTTTCTTCATCAAAATGTAACTTGTTATTAAGTTTTAGTAAAAATGAGTAGAAAATTTACTTAATCAGATTTAATCAGCTTGGGTTAAACAAATACAATATATGTCACTCTCTGTTTCCATCTTTATAGTTCGTTTAATCGAGAGAAAAAATTATTACTTAGGTGTGTGTTTTTTGTTTAAATATTTCCTAAAAATGAACTTATTTTAATTTTAGTAAAATGAGTAGAAATATTAAAAGAAGAGAGAGACAACTTCATAAATAGATCAATAAATAGTTTTTTGTTTGAAAAAAAAATTGTCCACCTTGACAACTTGTGCATTCACCAAGTGCTTGTGTGGCAAGAAGTTATTTTTGAATAGCCATAATATTTAGTATAGAAGATAGATAGATAGATAGATAGATAGATATAGATATAGATAGATGAACAAACCAACATCTGAAAGATTATTTGGAGAATTTTTTTTTTAATTTTTATAATAATTAGGTGGAAAATAAAAAAATTATATTTATTATTTTTTAATTCCACGTCAATCACTTAACGGTCAACAGTGAGAGTTTACCGACTTATCAGCAAAAGTTAATGGAGACTAACGGCCAGTGATCAGATTTGGACTGTTAACCTCATTTAAGTGACTGCGGATGAAATTAATTAATTTTAGTGGCAAACATAAACTTCTCTTGTAATTCAAGTGACCAAATTTGCAATTTAGCCCATAAAAAAGGGGATTGATATTCGTCGCCCTAAAACTCATTATTCGTCACCCTAATTATGTTAAATTTACTTTAATGTCCTTAATTTATTTTTGTCTTTCGGAACACTTAAACGCTAAAATTGAATCAATAAAAAAAAAATTCTCCAATACAACCCGTCCGGGCTCGCCGGCTGCGCGGAAGAAGTGTCGCCGATAGTGACCGATCATCTACTTGAACTTCTTGGCCTTAATCTCCATCTGGTCACTACTTGGCTGCTTTGTACTTGAAAGAGTTTTCGATTACTACTTGAACTTGACAGTGAAAGCTTCCCCGCCTCCCATTTCCATTTCCCTTAACTTCTTCCTCTTTATGCTCCGTCGCCACCGCTGTGTTTCCAAAAAGCAACAGCCGGTCGGTGGGCTGGGGGAACGGCAGCGGCGGATTGGGGAATCGATGTTTTTACACACTGCAGGCCGGCGAATTGGGAGATTCGCAGCGGGTGCCCAGCGCTCGGACACTTCCTCCTGCTTCTTCTTTCTCCTTCCTCAGCAATTGCACCGGGTCGGCGGATTTGGGGAATCGCCACGGGTCGACTTGCTGGGGGAATGGCCACGGCAGCGAATCCGGCTGGTGCGATTCTTTCTCCTTCTCTGCAATGGTAGCGGGTCAGCGGCTGTGGAAAAACAACGATGGTGGGTTGGGGGAACGGGAGGTGCGGCAGGTTGGGTGAAAGGTGGCGGCGACTACCTGAATTTGGCCGATGGGAGGAAGTTAGGGGTTGGGATCGATATTGTAAATAAGGGTATAAACGTCAATGTAATATGATTTAGGGCGAAAAAATTTAAAATTTAGGGCGACGAATAGCAATTCAGATAAAAAACTAAAAAAAATGCGTAAAGGTCCTACTGCCTACTTACATATATACCTTTCAATGCCATGAAGTCGTTACTTATTTATTTGTATGCATTTGGATCAAATACACACTAGGGCTAGTTGGATCCTGTTCAAACTTTTACTTTGTAAAGCATGTGAGTAATAAACTATTTTAAATGTAATAGGTGATTTTGATGAAAAATTCAGTTGGGTTAGTGTGAGACTGGAAAATCTCTTGAGATTAATTAAATGGAACTCATTATTACGTATATGTATCATAGCTCCTAGAAACTTTATAGAACTCATAAGCAACTCATGTGATTTCATCGAGAGCTCCTTAAAATCTTCCTTATTGAGGAATATTACAGTCTTTAGTGAATCGTAATTACAGCCTTATTGAGGATATTACAGTCTTTAGTTTCAATTTGTCTTCAAATTTAACTAAAAGCTGTAATCGTAAACTGCTTAAAATATAGGACTCTTTTGTGAATCGTGCGAAACTTTAGGCATGTATGAGTAGTTATCAAGGACAATTAATGAAATCGGAGCCGGCCATCTGAATCGCAAACAACTCCAGCAATTGCTATCGGCGCAGATTTTCTCTGCGTAACCCAAACAGCCTTCACCTCCGGTTCGTATCTCTTTCACTAGATTGAACTTAATCGAATCGCCCAACTCCTGCGTCTCTGTTTTCATTATAGGGTTCCTCTTACTCGATTTCAATCCGATTAACATGTCTCGCGGTTCATCAATTCTCTGTTCTGTTCTGGATCTAATTCGTCTCCGAAACGGTAATGCTCGATGATTGCAGGGTTGGGATCAGACGAACAATGGACGAGCAAGGTTCCGATAACATAAAGAAGTGGATTGTGCTGTACCCGGTCTACATAAATTCCAAGAAGACCATCGCCGATGGCAGAAGAATCGGTGCTCAAAAGGCTTGCGAGAATCCTACCTGTATTGAGATTGCCGATTGTTGCAAACACCTCAGTCTCCGCTACGCAATTGAGGTTTGTTTAACAAATTTGCGACCCTTTGATTACAGTCTATCTTTCTTCCGTGTTTGGGGAACGTATTTGGACTCAGAAATGGTCTTCTACTTGTAGCCTGATAAAGCGTATCCCCGGGATTTCATGCAAAGAGGGAGGGTGAGAGTGTTGCTGAAAAGGGAAGATGGAACTCCCTACAATCCTTCCATTCCGACCCGTAAGTACCTAATGTGTTTAAGCATATACAGCAGTGGTGGTGATGAAAGTGTTGGATTTCGTAGGCTTGATAGGGAATTCAATTCTTCTAACAATGGTTAATTATTGGAATGACATGGTTTTGACCATCTTTAAGCATGAGAAGTGAACAACACTAAGCAAATTAGTGGTATATGTTTCTGTGGAACTGTTTTGTCCGAAGAATGAAGCTCCAATTCGGCAGGCTGCTGCTTCATCTGGTTACTAATACCTTCCTTCGACACTAGTAACCGTGTATGCAAGCGGATGAAGCATATTTGTGTTGAAATTTATGTTTGTCAGTTCTGGCTGCTTCTAACTTCTGTGGTATTGAGATGAGATGGTTCTTAAACATGAATGAGCCAATTTGCCATTTGGGGGCTTCTGTCAGGATTTTACTGGTCTCAGTTCATTAACAGTATATTCAGAATTTTAGTTTGAGGGCTACTGCTATATCTACTATCTTCCCAAATCATTCCCTGGGCTCCTGGTCAAATTGTAATGCTCTTTCTGATGTTGGTCGTGTTGTATTACAGGTAAAGAACTAATGCTCCGTGTGGCTGAGCTGGTTCCTCGGCATCCAGGAAGGACTAGGAAGCAGGAACCTGCATCTACTTCAACTTCCGGAGCGTCCAAGTCTGAAAAGGGTAGAAAGAAGAAGAGATAGTAGCTCGCTTAGAAGTCACTCTTTCACAGAGTAGGTCATGATAGAGCTGCTATGAGTGTGATGCCCCTGCAAAGTTATCTGAGAAATCAGTTGACTAACAGATGTATTTAGTTGGCTCTACAACCAGTGTACTTGGCACATACTGAAAGAAACTTCTGAGCCACCCTCAGGGTAGAAACTTGGAGCTTTGTTTAATTTGAACACCAGATGAAGTTGTCTCCTGCTGCAGAGTTTTCCATTTGCAGTAATACTGTCCGGTTACGCGAATGGTTAATTAGTTTTTTCATTGTTCAGAGTATTTCATCCACCTGCATTGGTGATGGTGGTTGCCCGGTAAATGGTTCTTCTACATCGTTTGTTTTCGGGTAGGCACTCCTAATAAGAGCTCCATAAAGTAAGGTCGAGCCACGTTTAATCTTGTAATCTTCCTTTCCGTTACATTTCACAGAGATCACTCTCATAAGAACTGGGAAATGTTGGACAAAACTTTCTGGTAAGACCCAAATATTATAATTTCCGGAATAGGACAATGGAGTCTTCCATGAAATACTACTATCAGATCCATTTCAAAACGACCAATGTAAGAGAGATGGAATAGCCCTAACCAATAAATTCAACTCAGGCCTTTTGGGTTGAGAATCCAAGGATGAATTCCTTGATCTCCTCACTAGCTCTATCGAGGGCGGTCCTCCCATCTACATCCTTCACACTGTAATTTGCTCCTGCTCTAAGTAGCTCTTCTAGTTTCGGCTTATCGCCTTCAGATGCAGCTAGCATCAACAGTATGTCCACTGGATGGATGTTCTGGCTCAAGAGTGCTTCCATCTTGTCATATGTACCTTCAACAGCAAGCATTCCCATGTAGTTGAAATACTGCAAATTTAGAAGCAACCATGAGTAAATAAATTCATAGGTAAATTTTGCCATATACGAAATGAACTAATAACTTGATGTTCGAGAGCAACGGAGTCATTTTTCGTCATAAGACTATTCACTCTCAGTAGCATTTGAAGCCAGATTATACAGTATAGAACTGGGTTATACAGTATACAAAAATACAACGGGTTAGATTGCTGAAACCCTACCATTCCTTATAGGAAGCAGCCATCCTGCTCCCTAATACCCTTCTTGCACACCAACATCTGCAGTCTGCACTGATACTCAGAAGCGAGACTTCTTATTTGCACTAAGCTACACGTTAATTCCCTGCGTACTAATGATGTCCTATCCTCAGTGTATGTACATGTCTACATGAGTTTGCTGCAAATGGTTCGCTCTGGATTCACATAAGCAAGATCAAAACCAACTCAGGATTTAACATTTCCTATCCCTTCCCTCCCATTCAAGTCAACTCTTCAAATAACAAGTCCCATCTTCCATTATGGTGACATAACTTAATATTCTGTTCACTAAGAACAGTTGAAAGACTAAGCACTGAGAGGCCCCAGTTATCTCTCTAGCAGAGCTTTCTGATGCAGCAGTTCAGCTTTCTAACTTGACATCTACAACACCGGAAACAGATCAGTCATGCACCAAACTTTACCATGGAATTCACTGTTGCTCAAAGCAATTGCAATTACTCCCTCCCTAACTTCTCTCCCACAGTGGAAAGAATGAAAGAAAATGGTAACATAAATGAAGTAAACCATAGAAATGACAACCAAATACACCAGCACAAAGGAATCATGAGACTGAGAGAGGACCTGTTCGACATCGTCTCTGTCGAAATCGTCACGGGCCTGGCTGCCATAAATCCCAGCTCCTTCAGCATCAACGCCGTTCTTGCCGAACTTAAACCAGCACTTCACTCTCGAGCCGTTGGAGGGTCCGATACTGCAGGGTCGGACCCGGTTTTGGAACCCCAGAAAGGAAGAAGTGAGCTTTGTAGCAGAGGACCGAGGACGCGAATGTCTGGAAGAGAAATGGTGGAGGTGGGCGGTACTTGTACATGGGATTGAAGCCATCTCTGCGGCTCTTTCTTTCTTGTGGTTCCCGGCTTCAACTTCTGCCTATCCAATCAACAATGGGGGAAAAAGTGTGTTAGCTCATCGCTGGGAGCTGTATGAAAGAGAGAGGATAGGATGTGTCCGAACGTAGGATTGCATTGGCAATTTGGCATTCATTAACTCGATCCAAAATCTATATCAGCCATTTCCAATCAGTGTTTTCATCACAGTTAGACAAAAATTGAGTTGATGAGATTTAAAATATTTTCTAATGTTAAGAAAAATATTGATTGAAATGATGGGTAATTGTTTGATAATAAATTCATTAATTATCGATTCAAACTATGATGCTCTATCATTCTCTACAGGATTTTGGAAATAAAATCTTTTGGTTAATTACATGGTTGGTCACTGAGATTACAAAAAACATTCATGTTTGGTCACTCGAAATATTTAATTCTATTCGTGGTAACTAAAATTAGTTAAATAGTTCAAGTTTGGTCACTCTCCGTCCAACTCCGTTAACTTTTGTTTACGTAGCAGTCAACTCTAAAAGTTGACTGTTAAATGTGTGACATGGCAGTTAAAAAATAATAAAATAAATAAAATTTAATTTTATGAAATTTCCACCTCATTTCTAACTAGGCAAAATACACTTACATAGCCATAATTTTATACTTTGTGACAATAATAGCCAATTCAAAAAAAAATACACAGATATAGCCATTCCGTCGATAACTTTGACGGCACTACAGTAAATGCTTATTGGACTAACTTTTTTTACGACGTGGCAATTTTTCGTCAAAAATCATGTTAGGTGGAAATTATCAATTTTCTTTAAGTTTATTAAAAACTCCTAACTATTTTTCTTCAGTCCCTTTCACTTCTTCCCCTTCCTCTTCTCTTGAGTTTCCACCGCCGCCGCTGCAAATCATCCAGCCGCACCTACCAGCTCCATCGCCGACTAGAAGCCTAGTCGATTCATCTTCCATTTTCTCGCTGAAATACTCATCCAATAACCATTATTCGCATCGACGAACATACGCCAGTCGACGGCTGAAGAGAGGATGAGAAAGACAAAGAAGGAGCACTCTGAAGGGAAGACGAAGACGAGATGCGATACGGATATGGAGATAGGGTGCCAGATCTAGAAGTCGGAGTGCCGAACAGGGAATTGCAGCGCCAGATCTGAAGGATCTAAGAAATCCAGTGATGAGTAGGCGTGGATTGGGGCGATTTGTGATGGGTTAGTACCCGCCGGTTGTGATGGCTGCGGCTTCATGAGTTTGGTTCTGGTATTGGTGGCGATGGTTTCTCTTGTGGCGGTAGCGGTGGCGGCGGCGGCGGCGGCGATGGGTCCTTCGTTGGCTCAGTTTGTGGAGGTGGCGATGGGTCCGTTGCTCCTTCTGCTTCGGGATTCGTCCGGTGGTGATCCACCACCATATGGTGGTTGTTATAGCAGGCCGGAGGGAGGTTCTGAATTGGATCATATGATCGTTGAGGGACATCGATGTAGTGATCATGAATCCCTGTGAAACAAATTCATCATTGATGAAGCAAAAATCATGTGGTAGACAAGAAGGGAGCAGCCAAACCAGACGAGAATGACAAATACCACTGGCTTACGACACCCATCCAAACAAACCCTTCATTGTTAATTATTTTTTTTTTTTTGTGGGAAACGAAGCGCTGAGGGTGCTCCAACCTTTAATTGTTAATAACCAACCGTGGGGTCTGGACCCCAATCAAGTCGTGGTACAGCCAATATGACAGCATAGAAGAAGGATGATCGATCTCGTGAAGCCCCGGTGGAAGCCCATGACCCAACGAAGCCAAGTGATCGGCGACACAGTTTCCTTCCCTGTAGATATGTTCCAGCTTCACTTGCCATTCTAAGCTGAGGAGACGCCTGGCTTCCATGATCAAACCGTAGTGGGGATGACGAACCCCCCGACGAGGAGAGCAGCTGCAACGCCGCTGTGGAATCAGTTTGAACCACCAAGCATCGAACACCCATGTCCCAAGCCTATCGCAAACCATACACAATCCCTGCAAGTTCTGCTCTCGTGATCGACCCGTCGCCAAGGTTCATCGAGAAGCCTCCCATGAACCTGCCCTCATCACTTCTAATCACCCCACCTGCTGCCGCATGCCCCCCCCCCCCCCCCCCCCCCCCCCCCCCCCCCAGCAGTGAACCATCACTGTTCAAACACGACCACCCTTCTGGAGGAGACTTCCATCCAATCATATGCCTTCTTCGCACCCCTTGGCCTTCAAAAACCCTCGCGGCTGCATCCAACGCGTCCTGGATCTTAGCTTGGAGGGAAATTGCATTACTACTTATCTTCTTGGGTGACTCAAGCTGTTTATCAAAGACGTGCTTATTTCGATTCTTCCAAAGCAACCAGCAAAGAACTGCAAACCTCGTTGGGTGAACCACCTCGCTCCTTCCTGATATATAGTGTAGGATCCATCTCGTCATATCTTGTTGGAAAAATGTGGCGTCCGGTTCGGTAACCAAGATTTCAGACCAAGCCTCTCTAGCATAAGGGCAGTCTCTGACTACATGCAAAACCGTTTCACCATCAGCCCTGCAGATAAGGCACTTGTCCGACGATGAGAGGTGGCGACGCTGTCTCTCACTGTTCGTAAGCAGCCGCTGATGCGCTACCATCCAGAAAAACGTGCGTACACGCTGAGTTGCTGGGATGTGCCAAATCGCTCTCCAAATCGGATGCGATCCGCCTGGTTGCTCCTCCTCATCGGTAAGTGCATACGCCGACTTGAGGGAGAAAGATCCGTCCGGGGTAAAACGCCACACCGGGACGTCATTTTCTTCTTCTTGGGGGACCTGATGCATCTGTAACTGCATGCCAATATCAGGTGGCAGAAAACACTGGATATAAGGTAAGTTCCATTCACCATTGAGCACCATATCCGCTACTGAGATTGCCAAAGCCTCCTGCGGAAGGGATGGAGCCAATTCTGCTAGGGTGGGCACGTCCTGTAACCATCTATCTGTCCATAAAAGGGTTTGTTTACCGTTCCTAATGTTCCACATAGTCGCCGACGGCAAGATATGTAGCACCCGGAGGACTCCCCGCCAGAGGTTCGATAGTCGACCAGTTTCTCGCGGTCGCCATCATTCAGCTGATCGTATCAAGTACTTCGCTCGGACCACTCTGGCCCAGAGGCTATCTGGCTCGGTCATCAACCTCCATGCGATTTTGATCATAAAAGCCTCATTCATCCTAGTGGCATTGCGAAGACCAAGTACCCCCTCCTCCTTCGGCCTACAGATCATATCCCAGTCGACCAAGTGAACTTTCCTTCCCGCTTCAGAGCTCCCCCATACAAAAGCTCTAATCTTCATGTCTATATACTCCCTAATGGCTAACGCACGCCGAAAGGAAGGTGGTCTGCATTATATAAGACGGCAGAGACGCTAGGACTGACTGTGCCAAAGTAATGCGTCCGGCTAGCGAGAGGGTATGAACCTTTCAACTTGCCAGTCGGGAATCGATCCTATTAATCAGCTCAGTAAAAGTGTTCTTCGAAACTCGATCATGAATAACAGGTACCCCCAGATGTCTCCCAAGGTTCTTCGTCTCCGGGATACCTAGTGTTGCCGTGATCTCCATCCCTCACTCCCCACTAACATTCTTCGAAAAGAAAACCCGCGATTTCGGCCTGCTTACCTGCTGTCCAGAAGCCGCGCTAAAGTCCTCCAGGCATTTAGAAGTGACCGCCACCTGTTGCATAGTGGCCTCTCCCTTCATTGTTAATTAGGCGAGGAGTGAGGATTTCCCGTTGTTCTTACTTTTAATAGTTTATTATTTTATTTTTATGTTTTCAATAGTTAGAAACTATGTGGAAATTTTATAAAATTAGATTTTATTTATTTTATTATTATTTAAATGCCATGTCACACATTTGACAGTCAAATTTAAGAGTTGACCGCCACGTAAGCAAAAGTTAACGGAGTTGGACGGAGAGTGACCAAACTTAACTATTTAATTAATTTTAGTTACCACGAATGGAAATTCAATATTTCGAGTAACCAAACATGAATATTTTTTGTAATCTCAATGACCAACCATGCAATTAACTCGAAATCTCTCCTAAACATTTTGAAGGTATTTTTTGAGTGGTGGGATTTGGGTGATTAATTCTTACGATTCATAGAATTAGTAAATCATTTGTTTATTTCGTCCGAATAATTCCATATTTCACTCGGAGACTTATTGCTTGGCAAATCTCTAGTGTGTTGGGAGAAATTGACTATTTTGTCCTTATTTTTTTCCAAAATCAAAATCACTCCTATAAGATATGTTTTTTGCAGTGTTATTAAAGCCGAGCCGAGCCGCTCGACCTGACCGGTAAAACCGCCACCCGGTCACAAAATTGGCTTGGAACAGTTTAAAAGCCGCTCCGATTTTATGTAGCGGTTGACGAGCGGCTGAGGCGGTTAACCGCTCGAGTCGTTCGTCTGATTTTTGCCATTCTACCGTTAAATTTAATTTAAAAATTGCAAAAATTGAAAATTGAAATAAACCAAAAACGTTGGGCTCTCAAACTGAATCCTTATTTCCATTTCAAAATTTTGTAGGAAAGAGACTAGCTCTAATTAAGAAATGTCCACTATTTATACTGATAACGTTTATTAGGTACCGATTCTCTAACGATTTTTAAACGGTCTAATGCCGGATGAACCACTAAAATGAGAGTCGTTCGCATTATCGGGCCATGCTCATGTTCGGTTATGACAACATTGGTTTTTTGGTAATTGGCTAAGCATTTCGTTTTTTTTTTCTAAGGAGAAGAGTATTGAGTGATTACTATTTGATCATGTATGTTTTTAAAAGTCACTGGAATTTTATTATCATGCATGTTATTGCCTTCATTACTAGTCATAATTTGACAAAGAGGCTAGGGGTGGGCAAACGGTTCGGTAAATCCGAACTGAGACCGAATTAATGCTATTCGGTTCGGAATTCGGAAGGAAAATATGGATAGTTTGGAAATCAGGGCTCTTTCAACCGAACCGAACTTCCGAATTTCTGACCGAAAAACCGAAATACTATAATTGCAAGCTCCAAATGATGGATTTTTATGTTTGTAGTTGTTTTTAGACTTAAATATTTGAAATGTTTTTAAGACTTATGTGTTGAAAGTTTGGTTTTATCATTGATGATGCATATAATTGATATTCATTGTTTATATTAGGGGTGAAAAATAATGGGTTAATACCCTAGTTTAGGACAAAGTTTAGCGTTAATGACAGTTTTGGCCCAATTTTTCAAATAAGACATTTATGGCCTACTTTTAAAACTATTGTACAAATTTGGCCTATGGGACGGGTTGACTGTCAGAATTGACGGTCAACCGTTTTCTCCGTCGCTGACTCAGCATTCGATGCTGACTCGCCTTGTCCATGTCATTACTAATTAAAAAAAAAAAAAGGAGAAGGGGAGAGGAGACATGAGGACCACCACCAACACAGACCTTTCCCTTTCCTTATCCCCTTCCATCGTCTTTCTTCCTCGTGCGAGAACCCCGGCCGTTCCCGTCCCCGACCTCCTCTAAAATCAAATCCGACCCACATCGGAGTTAAGCACGCAACCGACGCCTTTTCGTGGCGATCGATGGCAGGCAGCGAGTACTGGTCCTTCTTCCGTACCCCTTCCCAGATCGAAACTACTGAGAAAGTTCCCGCCTTCGTCGACACTTTCTACAACCTCGTCACCGACATCTACGAATGGGGATGGGGCCAATCATTTCACTTCTCCCCTTCCTTGCCGGGGAAATCCCACCGCAACGCCACCCGATTAGCTAAAAAATCAAGCCCAGAAGTCGAATCCTCAAGCTGGGTGCGGGGTCGGCGGGCAGGTGAAAAGAGCTTGCAACCATAACAAGCCGATTCCTCAATGCTCGATGGACGGGGTCGGCGGCCAGGTGAAAAGAGCTCGCTTATGGGAATCGGTGGATGGGAATAAATGTCTTCGATTTTTGGATGGCTTCTCTCTTAAAGGGTAGGAGGAATCGTTGGAAGAAGAAAAGAAATTGTAGTAGTTGTGGGTTTGGGGAAGGAACAAGAGAGGCAGCATATTGGTGGTCGTCGAAGAAGGAGGTGGTTTTGGGGATTTTGTGGGTTTTTTTATGATGATGTTGATTTAATTTAGCATTTGGAATTGGGGATTAATAAGAGGGAATTTTCTTAATTTGTATTTATTTTAAATGAATTACAAAATTAAAATAATTTATTTAATGACGTGGCATGCCACATCAGTGGTTTTTCGCTGAGTCACTAACAGAATAGTGTTTGACAGTCAATAAACGGTCAAAACAAATTTTGGGCCAAATTTGTCCAATAGTTTCAAAAGTAGGCCATAAATGTCTTATTGGGAAAATTGGGCCAGAACTGTCACTAACGCTAAACTTCGGGCCAAACTAGGATATTAACCCAAAAATAATTTAAAAGTGAGAAATACAAGTAGCTTCACAAATAAGGTTTTGTGTGAAAAACCGAACCGAACCGAATTATAATTCGGTTTAAACCGGCCGAACCAAATTATAATTCGGTTCGAATTCGGTTTGAGGTTTGGAAGAATTCGGGGATCCGGTATTCATAATTTCGGTTCGGTCGAAACCGAACCGACCGAATACCCACCCCTACAAAGAGGAGAAGAAACAAAAAATCACGACAAAGAAGTGGGTCAAGAATATGAAGCTGGAAACGATGAATGTGAAACAAAATATAAAACAACTTAACAACGTAGAATTTCCACTTAAAAAGTGTCCTAGAACAGTAAGGGTATACAAGAACATTTTTCCAATCAAATATGCTCCCAACATACATTCGTTCGCTTCAAATTAAGGATGGCAATGAATCGGGTTGGGTCGGGTTTTGCCAAACTCAAATTCAAACTCATGGGTTTATCCGTGAAAAAAATCCAGGTTAAAACTCATTGGGTTGTAAAACTCAAACCCAACCCAACTCGCTGGGTATCCGCGGGTTTATGGGTACCCATGGGTTATTGTCGTAAAAAAATTTACAATAACAAGTTCCTATCAAAATAAAAGTCAAATATCAATCTCTAAATCCAAATTATCCATATATAAAACACCATTCTAGAAAATTCAAGTAAATCACAAATTAACCATACAAATTGTTCACACCAATCTAGAAAACTCAAAAAAATTAAAACAAATCACAAATTATCCATAAACAACATGATTGATTAATTGAAAGCTTCTTCCTCATTGTCAATTAAATTTCTTCACTCTCTACTCGATAATATCAACTTCATACACAATTAGAAATATCAAAAAGACATGTCTCCACGAACATAAAAAAGGCAATGACAGAAGGCCGGTTGCATGGGCTGGAGGTGGTTAGGGGAGCCCCGGTGATTACTGATAGACCAATAATTACACCTATTTTTACCCCTATTCTTGATCCGTTTGAGAGGTTGACTCTCGTGTATTAAGCCGATTTCACGCGAGGTTGTGCGTTTATGTCATATTTCAGGGCCTGACGTTGGAATCGAGGCGAAGAAACGAGTTGTGGGTCGAAAGGAGCGAAGTTGGGTCGACCGAGTATTTATTGTTTTGGCACCCGTGAGAAACAGAGGGGGGCCCGGGCTGGAGGCAAAAATCCCCGACCGGGGATTATTGACCTAGACCGGGGATTTTTCCCTGAGGCAAAACGCGCGTTTCAATTATACCCGGTCGAGAGCCAAAATACCCGACCGGGTATCGCGACAGGCAACAGTTTTAAAGGAAAAGAAGGCCAAAAATCAAGGGTTCCGAGTTTTAGAGAGACAGAGCGATTCCTAGAGAGAAAGCGACAAACCAGAGTTCCCAAGTGCCATAGTTTGATCCGCATCTGAATCTGCTTTTGCTTCTTTCTCCATGGAGTAGTTCTCCCATTCATCTGGGTATGGAGAACCCTAGATTTGTATGTTAGGTCTGATTGTATGAACCCAAGTACAGATTTCATGAGTTGATTATATTCGATTGAGGCTTGAATGATTGAATGACTTGAATCCTGATCAAATTCATGTTGTTTCTGCTTTAACCTAGAATGAGAATATCTGCCTAGGTTGATAGAGCACCCTTAATTGAAGGTGGCGAATTGGTGACTTTAGTTGAGGAGCCAATTCGCTATTCTGTACCGAATTCAATTCGGTGGAGGTTTGGTTCGTTAGGGCCTCAATCTGTTTACTCTGGTGGAGGTTAGTCGCCCGCTGGAGACTCAGATTGAGAGGGTCTGGAGACCTTTAGTCGAGACTTCAGACTGTTTAAGAACCTTCCGCAGTATAACTTTCATGGAAACTGAACTTGGTAAATTGCAATCCGGCTTAACTGCAGTCTAGGGGGAACCATATCCGGGTGACCTCTCTCAACTTGAAAACAACTGTTTAATTTGCTTTGTTTGTTTGTTAATTTGGACTTGCACTAAAGTTTCATTGCTAGATAACAAGAATTCACCGAGTAGTCATCAAATCTAGGACCCGGGTTAACATTAAAATCCAAACCCGCTATACTACACTTTAGGAAGTGGTTACACTTGGCCAATTTTTAGAGTGACAGTAGGAGTGAGTCAAGTTTTTGGCGCCGTTGCCGGGGACGGCTAGGTTGTTGAAGAAAAGTGATTTGTGTTACTTTAGCATTTTCTTTTTCGCATTGATTGTTTGTTCTTTCCCACTTGTGCCTTCACGGGTTTGCTTGCTTGAGTGTGGGCAGGTAGTGCATGACCCGTAGCCAGTCGGAAGGTTTACTGCCGTTGAATCTAGAGATTGAACGCACCTGTCGCCAACTCAGGAGACAACAGCGAGCTAGACTGGCTACGGAAGAGCGCATAGACGACCAATTGCGCAGCGAGTCCGAGGACGAGTACGAGATGGAAGGAGCTCACAATCCACACCAGGGGAATCCTCACCAGGCTCCCCCGGTGAATCAGATCTTGGGGAACAACCCCATACCCCAGACAGATGGGGTTCATCATCACCCTCCGCCGTCGGGTCCCACCTTGGAGTACTACTACACTCCCCGGGTTGCTGACATCCGCCCTGTCATCCTCTATCCGCCCATTCCAGCAAACAATTTCAAGATCAAGCCATGCTGGATTCAACTCATTACATCCTCTGTCCAGTTTCATGGCTTGAAGGATGAGGAGGCAAGGGTGCACCTGTCCCGTTTCCTGCAGCTGACGAACGGGTTAAAGCTGCACGGTGTCCCTGATGATGCAATCCTCCTTCACCTCTTCCCCCATTCTCTGGCGGGGAATGCTAAGAGGTGGTTGGAGACCCAGCCCCCATTGTCCATCACCTCTTGGGACGATCTGGCTGACAAATTCTTGCACAGGTACTATCCGGCATCGAAGACTACAGAGATCCAGCGGGAGATCACTCACTTCCGCCAAGAGCCAGATGAGTCACTTCGTGATGCATGGGAGCGGTACATGGGATTTTTCTGGCAGTGTCCCCATCATGGCTTTAGTGATGCATTCACAGTGGGGAACTTCTACAGTGCTCTCTCTCCGGAAAGCCAGAGTGTGATTGAGTCTCTATGCCCAAGAGGGGACATTCTTACCAAGACTCCACCTGAACTGAACCAGATGATCAGTACATTGGCTGCCAGAGATCATTCCTGGGGGCAGAGCAGCAGAGGCAGACATTCCCGGGACCGTGGTGTGCACGCCATGAAGACCAGATCCGGGCTCGAGCAGCAGGTGGCTGAGTTAGTGCAGACATTGAAGTAGCCCAACAGTCTTATTCCGGGCAGAGGTCTGGGAGGACCTCCCGTAGCTCAATGTCAGTGGTGTGAGAGCTCGAATCATCTGGTGGAGGACTGTCAGGCTATGCGGGAGTCCTCTACTCCCCAAGAACATGTGGACTTCATCGCCAATGCTCGGCGCCTTGACCCATATAGCAATACATACAATGAGGGGTGGCGCCAGCATCCCAACTTTTCCTGGAACAGCAACGCCACTAAACCACCTGGTTTCCCAGCACCAGCGGGTGGTTTTCAGCAGAGGCAGCCCTTTCAGGCTAGGCAGGGGCCCCCACCACAGCAACAGCCCTACCAGCCTAGGCAGGGGCAACCATTCCAACATCCCCAGCGTCAGTATGCCGAGCCAGCAGCAGCTCCAGCTCCAGATAACCAGATGACGGAGCTGAAAAACATTTTAGCGGCATTCATGACCACTAGCCAGGCAAATTTCGCCAGGATAGACTAGAGCATCGCCTCGCTGGATGTAGGTCAGAGGAACCAAGGTGCTATACTGCAGGACCTCCAACATCAGATTGGAGGAATAGCCCGCCAGAACAACACCAGGGCACCGGGAACTCTACCTGCCCTACCATCCCCAATCCACGGGAGCCGCCCCAGCAGCTGGATCCCATTTTTACCAGGAGCGGTAAGACCATATCCGCTGATCCTGTCCCTGCCAGGCTGGAGGAACCACTACCTGCTTCAGCACTTCCAGCCGACGATGCAGAAGTGCGGGTGGAGAAGGGAGCCCCTGCTCCCAAGCCACAACCAGTGGTTAAGGAGCATGTACCCCAACTTCCCTTCCCCACTCGCCTACACAAAGACAAGCTGGAGACTGAGTTTGCCAAGTTTATGGCAATGTTGAAGCAGCTCAACATCAGCATACCGTTTGTGGAGGCACTGTCGAAGATGCCCAAGTACACGAAGTTCATGAAAGATCTCTTCACCAACAAGAAGAAACTTGGGGATCTTTCGACAGTGTTGCTGAGCGAGGAGTGTTATGCTATCCTACAGAACAAGCTGCCCGAAAAGCGCAAGGACCCAGGGAGTTTTACTATCCCTCTTACTATTGGCAGCATGCATGTAGGCAAGTCCTTGGCGGACCTAGGCGCTAGCATAAATGTCATGCCATATA